CGCGCCAGGAGCCGTCCGCCTGCCCCTCGGCGGTCGCGCGTGGCACGACCAGGTGCATTCTCTGGGCCGGTGCTCGCTGGGGGTCCCTGTAGGCTACGATCGCCCATTGGGGGACCGAGCCTCCTTTGTTATGGTATGGGTACTGGAGAGTTAGGGAACTCCTCCGGGGAAAGGAGGAGAAACAGCCCGCGCTGTGGCGGGGAGAGGGTGCCGGGGAGCCGGCGGGATTTGAACCCGCGTCGCGGTGATGCTCGGCGACTGGGCGCCTTCACCCGTCCCGGGTGCGCGAGGGAGTTGGGGGCGGGAGGGGCGGGAGCGCCCACCTCGCGCTGCTCAGAGACCCACATTGGGAGCTCTAAGCCCCTAGCGCCTGGGAGCAGCTTTGGGCGTATTTCTCCTTGTCTGGAGACCCTGGTGGCTGTGGCTGAAAAGCTCTGGGCCCTTTGCCTGGAAACAGCTGTATCTGAGCTTTCCCACGACTGCTGCCTAAGGCGCGCTCCAAGGCAGAAGTAGGGCTCTTCTGGACGCCCCGCTTGAAGAAGCCACCATCCTCAACTCGTTGCCTTCTATTAATACATTTTTTAAAAAATGATAGCCACATTCATATTTGAGCATGAAACCAAAGTGAAACTCCGTGTCATTGTTCCATGCACAAATTGTTTTTCTAGTTTTCATTTCCTCTGGTTATGTGCTTGCCCAGAAAGGATCTGGGAGATCGGTTTGCAGGAGTCGAGGCTTCCAGCCGTGGACAAGCCTGGACTGACTGTTGTTTCCTTTTTTCCTTCCCCTCCGAGAGAGTAAAGGCTTCAGCTGTTGCTCAGTGTCACAGCCATGCAGTCCCACAGCCCGGAAGGTGTGGCTTCTGAACACATTTTGCAGTTTCTCCCTCAAATGCTTAAAAATGATTTTTGCTACTTACCAGATTTTCCGTACTTATTATTTTACTGTTCTTAATCTTGTTCTTTGTTTTCCTCTTTAAAAAATTTTTTTCTTCTCTCTTGCAAGAATGATATTCACTAAATTCACCTAACTGTATAGAAATTGTTAACTGTTACATGCCAGAGAGAACTACACACACATCTCCTAATTGAGAGCTTGTCTCCCTGGAGGCAACTTCTCCATTGGGGGCTTTTACATTACATCAGCAATTAACTTGAGATTGTTCCTCCCAGCCCAGTCTCCCCAAATTTCATAGCCGGTTATTTAAACACACTTTGGTAGAGATGACAAAACTTTCCAGAGAGCAGGCTTGAGAGCACTTTATTTTGGTCTAGAAATATTGACCAAAAGATTGAACGCTTCCAAGGTTCGAGATGGTGAAGCCTGATGATGGTAAGGTAAATCAGAGAAAGTTCTTCACTGGGAAATAGGAGCCGTTTGCATTTCGATTTTCTGATGGATAATGTTAGCAAAGCAAAGCTAACTGTGAGAGCTGACTTTCCAAACATTCAGGACTGTAGAAAGAAAGAACCACTCAGTTACGCAAATCCTGTTCTCACCCGGGAAATCAAATGCGTTAATGTGGAGTTGGAGATAATTTTACTTCCCTTTAATCATTTCCTAAAGCTCAATTACATTCCCAGCCACTGGCTTTGCTGTGTCCCTTGAGGTGCCATGGACTGTTTTTAAGAGATGCAGCATGTGGGCAGTTCTGATCACAGCTGACCTCACAGATATTATCGTTACTCTGTATTTTCCCTGGTTTAATTAGAGAAAAGTGCTTAATGTGCAGATGACGTATGGGTATACAAGAAAATCACTTAAAAACTGAATCTGCCTAATTTTAAAATTTGTCTCACTTTTCATGCCATCAATAACATTTTGGCTTACCTCCTTCCAAAATCAGCTGTTAGATATACCATAACACTGAAGTAGCTTCAACACTGATCCAAGCAAAACATAATTTAAAAGTACATTTTGAATGATAAGATGCTGAGGATTTGATCAGATCCTAATTCAGAAGCCACTGGAAGTGACTGTTGGCTTACCTCTCCTTTGCACTGTCTGAATCGCACTTCACCTGCATTTGTACATCCAGACATCACCTGCTGTGTGCCAGGCATGAATTGCACTTACTGTTTTTTCTTCATGAAAGGCTGTTTAATTTTGTATTTGCTGTATCTGCTATGGTCATATTGTTTATGTACTCATGGGTGGATTTTCTAAACCATTGATTTCATCCCATGCTGAACCTACCACTCTACTCCCTGCTCCTCCCTTCCTCCACTTTTCTTTAGCAAGAAAGGAGGAATAGCTTGCAGGCTCCAGACAAACACGTGCCAGTAGTGTTCTGATGGCGAGCACCCTCTGCTCTTAGTCACACAGTTGCACTGGGTGGAATGAACCCTTCCTTCAGCAGCCTTCACACTCCCCTCTAGCTGGTTCTGTGTGATGCTTCTTAACAGATTATTTCTCAGGATTAGAAATGTGAACTTTCCCCTCAGTGTGGTGATGCTTGTCCAGCAATATTGTCATCTCCTGACCATTAGTCACCACCTCTGGGACTGAATGACCTAGAGTTCAAACTAAGTGAGATTTCATTTCCATATAAGTATGGACCATGTTCTACTGGAAATGTAGTTTAGATGAGAAGGCTGTTTTCTGAATCAGTCCCAACAAGAGCAGCATCGCCCAGGATCTCAGGAGTGATACCGGTGAAGCTATTCCTTACGTCTGCAAGCTGTTTATTAATAGATGGAATTGGACTAGGGTGAAGGGACATAACTTTAAGACCAACCAGAAGACACAGTGTTCATGTGCTCTGACTAGATTCACGGAATTACCAGTGCTATGCATTATTAATAGTTACAGGTACACAGAATGAGTGTGCTTTAGGCACCAGAGGATCTTACATTTATACCTGCTTTAAAAAGCAGGAGATTTGGAGGTACTCATCGAACTCTGTACCTCAGTTTCCCTGACAGATCTGTTCCGTCCTCACACAGACCCTTTTGTGCCTGCCTTCATTCCACACGTGCATCTGGAACACCTCCTTCCTGCCATGACCTTGCCAGGTGCTGGCCATGCGGCAGGGACTCACCCCCACTCTCTGTCCGCAGGAAGGTCTAGTGAGAAATATTGGAAAAGAAACAGACAAATCTAACTCAGACTGGTAAATGTCACAATCAAGGGAATCGAAGGGCTATAGGAACACCGAATGCAGCTTTGAGGAACTCAGAGGAAACTTCTGGGAGGGCCTTCTGCCTCTGAGATATGAGAGAGAAATAGGAACTAGACACCAGCATGTCATTTCCATGTGCGCTGTGATGGTGTACTGTCCACAGAAGGCATGGCCATTCTGCCTGTCCACTCTCAAGTCTAAGGGTCTTTGCACTGAAAGATGACCTTCAAGTTTGCTCCTTTGAGATGCCAAAATGTCATTGTTTCTATGGTTAACAATCTTGGTGGCTGAACTTTGCTCTCAGAGGGGTGGAAAGAATTGGAAGGGTAGGGTTTAGGAGATCAGTGATAAAAAAGAGCTCCCAGCTCCAACTGAGGCCCCAGTATGTGGTCCTGTCCCTTTTCTCGGAGGTGGCAGGTAGGCAGGCAGGGGATGTTTGGAAAGTTGCGGCATGGATGACTGATTCTAGTCAGGAGTGCCTTTAGGAACTGACCCAGAAAACCTACCCTTACTTGGGCCAGGCCATGAGGGAATTCACAAAACCCTACATTATTCATTAACAAGACTGTTGGCAAATTTCTGAGAACTGGCAAGGATAGTCATAACAAGTTCAGTTATTTAGTTAAGAGCTGGTGAAGATTTTGCAGACAAATGGAACCCACCAGTGATGATCTAAGACAAACCTTTGTAGACAGTGGAAGAACATCAAGAAGTGAATAAATGACAACAGCGGTGTTGATGAATTCTATGATATTTGTTATAATAATTGTTCCCCAAATTGAAGAAGGATTAACCTCATTAAAATATCTCACAAGGAGGTTTGGTATTTTGAGTTCTTGAGCTAGAGTCAGCTCAAGCAACAATAGAATACCTAAAATAATGTTAGAGCATTGTTCTTCCTGCTATTATTAAACAACCACGAAAAAATGTCAACTATAGAACAATACAAAAGACATATTCCTACCATTCTTATGCATACAATGAAAAGGGATATAAACCAGAACATGTTTTAATGGTGAGTTTCTTCTGAGGCTTTTGACACTGTAGGAATGACTTTGGGGTGAAGACTTTGATAGTATGGTACACAGTGAGCTGGTTCCAGCCTCGTTTCCCTCCATTGTTCTCCTCGTCCTAACTCTGGGACCTGGGTCCCTCCTAGCGCTCTTTCCGTGTCTCTGCTTCTGTCGTCTTCCTCTTCCCATGCCCCTCAGTGTGGGTGAGCCGCAGGGGCAGCCCTGCGTGCT